AAAAAACGAGCACATATAGACGATCGGCGGGCTATGGAGCCGCCGATAGTCTATATGTGAAACACCCGGTAACGGGTGTTTGTATTGGTCAGGTCTTTTCTGCCCGTGCGTGCCCGCTAGGGGGAGCGCGCGAGCAGAAAAAAAATGCCGTCTGGAGACGGCAACCCGCCAATGCTGAAGTGCCGTCCATCCGTTTTTTTACAACGGGCGGACGGCAAGTGGTTAACAAAACATCTAAAAGGTAAGAAGTTATTTTTCAGTATGCTGTGTGAATAGGAACACATAACAAACATATGTACTGTAGGGGTTTTCTCAAATTTGATTGCTAAGTTGAAATACACTTTAAGTACACCCCATGGAGATTGTTGATTGTTTTCAAACAATTCAAACAGGCCAATTAACTATATCCTTGATTGACTATGTTCTTTTTGGGCAGCAAAGGCTTTTTTCTGGCTCACTTGCCACGCAAGTTAAATTGATGCAATCTCTTTTTGATTGCAGAAGCATGCACTTTGATCCCAACCATTGCAGGAGTTACCTGAACACCTCACAAATTCATTTTGGGGTTTTTGGAGGCTTACTTTAGCATTTTATGGTTAGCCCATGCATTGAATTTTCTGGGCATTTGAAATTGAGTCCTTACAGATCAATCTTTTTAAATCACTTGCCAGACTCATAGACGTCCACAACCTTCTTTCAGAGGAGTTTAGGGAGCTCTGTTCATCTTGGCATGATGACACCACACATGTCAATAGCAAAAAGAACACCTGACCCTAGATGTCTGAAGTTTAAATAAGACCAGTTCTACGTTCATACTCCCTAAAGGGGTTGCAATCATTGCCACCTAATCTGGATTCTAATTTCATGAAAATAAAGTGGTGGTAAATGTAGGTGTGTATTTACTTTTTCCATGTGACAAAACTGCATTTTCATTAATGTAGCTTATGAGAATGAATACACCATGTATCTTTTATGTGTCCTTTCTTCAAGTATATCACATTTATCTGAAGGAACTGTTTAAATCAAGATCCAATGTTTCTCTGTTCAAATATGCCTATAAAGTCAACAATTTCCATGGGGCGTACTTACTTTTTCACATGTATGACTGTATGTGTAATGTGATTGCTAATGGGCAAATCTTGTTTGATTTTAAATGGGATAGGCAAATCTTGTTCATAGATGGAATCTCTGTGTACGTTTCTCTCTCTCTAAGTAAGAGGAAATCTCTTCAAAGGGAGGGGAATTCCTCCCGCAAACAGTTGTTACTGGAAGAAGTGTTTCTTTCCAAAAAATTCCCCTTAACTTTTGTTCTGGTGACAGTTGTAAAATGTTGGCTTTCCTTTCACTTTTTGTCTTGGTAATAATAGTCAACAGCACAGATAGAGGGAGTGTATCTACCTACTGTAGCTGGGACAAAGAACACTAACAACTTGGCAAGCTCTTCAATCCATCCCTACGCAACCAAAACATTTTTTGGCTATACATGTACTTTAAAAGAAAAATATGGTATACACTGAGCTATTATTGTAATTATATTATATTCTGCTATGGTTTTATTATATTTTACCAGTGAAGAAGCATCACAACTGCAGGAAGAACACCATCCCAAAAACACAGGCACAAAATGCTCCCATGTATTCATTGCACTTGTGATCATACCCTAGAGCAGGGGTGCCCACAATTTTTTTGTATCGAGATCTACTTCTCAAATGAGCAGCCCAATGAGATCTACCAACGATCTACCTCCCTCCTGCGTTCTGAAGTCAATGGCACGCCAGCCATATCCCCACGCATGCAGTGTGTTCGGCAGCACCAAAACGCAGCACAAAACCACAATTCCTGTGTTCTGGTCCAGTGTGATCGGAAAAAATGCTGCACGCGCTATTTTTTCCGATCGCACTGGACTGGAATGCAGGCATTGTGGTTTCCGCGTTCTGGTGACTTGAATTCACCGCCACGGCCCCTCCCAGCCTAGAATGCAGGGGGGGTTACCATGAGAAACAGTGCGTTCCATCAGCTAACGGCGCTGGAACGCACTGTACTGTAACTCGTGTGAACAAACCCTAAACACCGCCCTAAAACATTGCATTCTGTGATTCAGGCATTATCTGAGTTCAGGTGCAGGAGGGGGTGTTGCAGTGCATTGAAATTAATGTCACCATAGCCATGCCCCCCACCGGTATTGCAATCGCCCTCACCTGAACACGTGGCACATTAGTGCCTGCGTTCCGGTTCAGTGCAATCTGCAAAATTAGTACAGCATTTTTGCAGATTGCACTGGACCGGAAAACACAGGCACTAATGTGCCACGTGTTTGGGTGATCGCCCCTGAGCGCAGGCAACCGACCGGAGTGCAATACAGTGCGTTCCAGAGCCTGACTACTCTGAAACGCACTGTTTGTGGTGTGAACCAGCCCTAAGGCCTCGTTCTGGGGCTATTGTGGCCGGAACGCACTCGATCGCATTGCGGCCAGCTCAGTTTGTTGTGGGGTGGGAGGGGGTGTGGCGGTGTGTTGAAGTGAATGGCACCGCAGCCATGCCCTCCGGCCGCAATGCGATCGGCCACACGGAAACGTAAGGCAAATCAATGCCTGCGATCTGGTCCAGTCAGAAAAAATGCTGCAAGCACTATTTTTTTCTGACCGCAGGCATTGATTTGCTATGCGTTTCTGTGTGGCTGATCGCATTGCGGCCGGAGGGCGTGGATGCGGTGCCATTTACTTCAACACACCGCCACACCCCACCCCACAACAAATTTAACTGGCCGCAATGCGATCCAGCGCATTCTGGCCACAATAGCGCCAGAAATCACTGAGGCTGGTGTGAACGAGGCCTTCTAAGTCTCAACTACGCAGCCCCTTAACTATACACTCAAATCCCACTCAACCTGTTGGTTGCCAATAGAACCTACCTGCTTCTGGCTCTTCAGGTGTGGTCCCAACGTGCTTGATGCTGCAGACTGGGAGGAGCAGGTCAGATGTGCCCAAGGCTGCACACTGAAGAGAGGGAGGAGCAGCCAATGTCACTACGTGTGGGAGGCAATTATTATTGGACGCTGATGAAGACGGAGGGGCGGGCCGAGTGTGCAGGCCAAGTGTCTCGGTGTCTGTGCGGGTAGCGGCGGCCACGTAGCATGTTTTAGGAAAGATTATTGGCCGCTTCAGGCAGGAGGGGAGAGCCGAATGTGTTGGATGCTTTAGCGTCCGACACATTCGGGTACACGGAGCGTGGGACAGGGAGTCGACCCGCGATCTGCCAGCGATAGCTTTGCGATCGACTGGTAGATTGCGATCGACCTTATGGGCACCCCTGCCCTAGAGGCATGTGGACACCATAAAAGATAGTTCTCTCACGGACAGCTTAGTCATTTTCTACATTTACAAGCTTACTGTACATACAAATAGCAGTGATTGGATGTCGTCTTTAAATTAAACCTCTGAAAAGTTCTTACCAGGATATGGTGGGCTTGTGGGTTCTGGTATCAATGTTGCACCTGACGTTGATGAGTGGAAGCAAGAGTGTTAAAATCAACTTATTCCAGAAAAAAAGTGATCCCACCCCTGCCCACATTCCAAAATACATTGTAAAATGTTAATTAAAATCTGTCACTTTGCTCTAGAAGGAGACAAGAAAAGGCTAACTGACCAAATAAAAAAGAAGTCCATTTGAGAATAGGGCTCCTACACTCACCAAAGTGCAAACTGCCCTATGTTACATAACAAGACCCTGTGCTAATATATATAAAAATATGAAAGGAAGGGCAGTGTCAGCACCAATTCAGAGATGATTTGAGGATCTACAACCGAGTGATACACAAATAAGATACATTTTTAATAGTTAAGCTACTTAAATGTATTTGTAAGGTTTAACTCCTCAGTGTAGTGTCACTATAACATTTCCTGTAAAATCAAGCATAGCCTAGCCCCATTCCAACCTCACAGACCTTCCCATTGGTTCTTTAGTGTGAAGGATGACCCAAATGGCCAATAGGTCTTTTGCATGTAACTTTGGCAAACAATATCTTTGGATCTACTGACTGTTTTTGGCATGCAGTTTACCTTCAATGTAATTATGGCTAATGAATCTTTAATTTTTCTTATTTTTAGACATGCTTTACATTTTCAGTGCCCAAACAAACTTGTGTGTCCAAACAAATTTCGGGCCATTCTTGTTTTTTTTTCTGTGGTAATAAAACAGTGAAAATAGGAACAACATACTGTATATTAATCAGAATGCATAGTTAACATGTAGAAAGTGGGCTGACAGTGATTTTGATTGCATGTTTGGCATACTGCACTTTGACTTTTCTAATAAACCTTTTCAAAGTATTTGTATCCATAAATAAAAATAGCAACATGAAGAGATTTTATTTACCAGATTTTATTTTATTTACCTAATATTTCAATGATAATTGGGAGATTTCTTGGGAATTTCTACATTTTGGTAAAATGCATTGGAGTCAATGGGGAAGATGAAAATTAAAGGTGGCTTTTAGTAGTTTTTAAGGGTACAATTGACTTTTATTGGCTCTTGAGGATCACAGAAACTCCTTCCAATTTTCCTGAAACCAATCTTGTGTGCCCCATTAGCCTCATTATTTTACATTTATTCAGATAAAGAAAAAATAGACAGTGAAAGTAAAATAAAAAATGTAAAGCAACAGTACAACCACAAAAATGCTAAAAAAAAAGGGGAAAACCCCAAATGCAAACACTAGATGAAATAAATTAAACTGCTCTAAATATACACACCCCAAAAAATACCCTCTTAATGAAGAAATAGTATTTTTGTTTCCAAGCAAATTTTGCCTGAGTGAAGTTGGGAGTTTCTGCTTTTGTGAAATTCAGCTGACAGCAAAATTAATAACTGTGCAGGGAAATCATGTGGCTCGTCCTTAGCCAGGAATAATACGTGATGCTGAACTGAGAAGCACAAAGTATCAGGGTGCTATTGGGTGCTATGGGTGCCACTCAGTTGTCTGCAACAGACTCCAACTGGTAGTCCCTGATTCACCACTGCCATCACCTATGTTCTTTGGAATACTGTAAATGGCTGACTGGATAGGAAAGTAAGGTGTCTACTCACTAAGCTGCCGTAGGCAGCCGATTGGATAACCGACCCGAAGTGAAATGAGCTATTCACTTCAGGCTTGTACAGCTGATTTCAGCTGTATATCGGCTGAAATCAGCCGTACATCGTCTTGCTTCGTGTGGCTTCGGGTCGGCCGAACATGCTCGGCCGACCCGAAATGCAGAAGGAGTTCATCTGGATCGGCTAAGCTGAACCTCTGGCAGGCAACTCGCTGCTGTTCGGCCTATTCTCATAGATGCCGAACAGCAGCGGCATTCTGCTCGGCTTTTCTGCTCGGTACCTCTGTGGTACCGAGCAGAATAGAAAAATAGTTTAAAAAGTAGAAAACAAAATGGAAAACGATTCAGCGGAACTAGCAATGACAGCTAGCTCCGCCCAACTGTTTTCTATTGCCCGGCGGTTCTGCTGCCGTCAGAATAAAAAACAAAAACCATCATAGGAATGCATAGCTAGATTCCCATTGTCTATTTTACTTTGCAATAGCCAATAGCAAACTAGCTACTGCACCCGCCCTCTTCTGCTGTCAATCACTAGAAGGGAACCTGATGGAGAACTTCTGGTCCCCTATTCTGATTGACAAAACGCGCAGTTAACCGCCGCAAAACCACCCATGCAATTGCACACGATTGCATTTGAAAAAAACATAAATGCATGCACCTCTTTTCAGTGATTGCCGCCGGATAAAACCCCATTTAAATCAATAGGGGGGCCGCACAGCAATTGCTGTGTGCAATGGTGCACGATCGTGCAGTCCGGGAATCGCCGATATGTTAACCTAGCCAAAAACTGGTTTCTACATACAGACTGATTTTTACCTTTTTTTAGCTCACAGATCCAGTTTTTTGGATGTTCGCAAGGTATGTCATTCCAGGAAAATTGGTAAGAAATGATTATCACTCCACACAGTTCAGTACCCTGGTAGTTGTTGGGTTCTCCAGATTGCCAATTTTCATATATTAGCTAAAGGGAACATAATAAAATCAGCAACCATAAGCGGCACCGCTCATTTTCAGGTGCCAATGATTTATTTTAAATTCCACAAACAATAACCAAAAGCTCTTCTACTGGATTCAGATCCGATGACTGGTCTACCATCTGTGTGCCTCAGCAGAAATCAAGATTCAAAAGACCACGCTACATTTTTCCAGTCTTTACCGGTCCTGTTTTGGTCAGCTAACTGCTAGAAAACCCAAGGAGATCAGCAGTTACTGACACCAAAAATCATGTTACCGTCAAAGTCATCATACATTGCTTGGTGAATATACAACTCCTGATCATCTACTCTGCCTTTCTTATTATAGCCTCCTTAGGTGAGTCCTAATTCCTATACTTGAGCTCATTTTGATATACAAAAGGCAACAATGTCTGTCAAAATTTTACCCACTTCAGCAAGTTTCAAATTTTCTGATAAAACATTTTTTCCTATATATTTGCATATTGATTGTTGGTTTTATAATTTTGTTATTTTTCTGTGATAAAGTGCTCAGGTAATGTCCGCAGTGGAAACCTTTTCAATAAGTCTTTTTTTAAACATTTGCACTGAGCAACTTTATCACAAAAAAAACCCAGATGAAGCCACTATGTGGCGAAACATGTTGGGTACACTTTAGGCCATGAAGAATTTAGTGGTGGGGTCCATGTGGTAGATGATATATATAAGAGTATAGAATATAAGAAAATAATTTAGAAGATAGATTAGAAAGTTAGTTATAAACTAAGAAGTAAGTGAGAAAATAAGATTTACCCCTCATGGAAACCACTACAGGAATCATGGTGTGGGTGGTGTGCAAATTGAAAAAAAACAAGCAACATTACGCAAATATATAGGAAATATATATAGGAAAAATTATGTTTTATTAGATATGTAAGAAAATGCGGAACGCGTTGAATTGGGTACAACTTTGACAGACATTGTCACCTTTTGTATATAAAATATAATTACTTCCACATAAATTATTTTGAGGAATCCCGTATATTGTGAGATTTTAGATCATTTATAGCCTTGTCCTCCATCAGCTTACCAAAAGTTGTTGACCAATTTGCCTACAGTACCTTTTTTGTATGTTCTAGGCATGTAAATGTCATTTCATTCACAATTGATATTCATATAAATTTTGTTAAATTCAGACATTCATATGCATCTGAATTTCCAAATTCTAATGTCCGAATGGAACGGATCTGAATGCTCGTTTAAAAAAATTTGGATCCGTCCGAATTTCATTCAAATCTAAACCAATTCGGACATCTGGCCAATCAGATGGGGGGTTTTTGGCTGTTGGGGTTTGCATTACAGGGACAGTCATGTGGCTTTCGTTCTAAAATGAATATTTGCATGCTTTCGAAATCCGAATAATGAACCAAATCAAATTTTGGATCCAAAATCCCAAAAACTAAAGAAATAAAAATCTGAATGGATCCAAAACAATTTTTTTGCGGGGCTACATGTCTAGTAAGACATGCATTGTAGTCATTTTACACGCACTAGTTTTCAACAAATGTTTTGAACTTTTTCATTAATTCTTTTTTTTTTTTTACACATTGTAATGGATTCTGACAGCTGCAGCCTACTTGAATTCCACCATGCAAGGCATAGGGAAAGCTGGAGCCTGAAGGTTTGTTTGCAAACAAACCCATCAGATCTGCATGTACTGTAAATGTGCAGAAATATTAGGGCACATGGACAACAGACAGTAACTAATGTGACTTCTTGAAGAGCTTGCAGACTACGATGTTTTTAGATGCTAAACTGTGACTAAACAGTGACTACAGCAGATTTTATTTTGGCGTTTTTTCTTCTGCACATAACAAACATACACAAAATTGACTTACAGACGAACCATCTGACCATTGAAAGCCTTCGCTGGGATCACTGCTCACCAGACCAATCCAGGCGTCTTGCAAGTTACCGGAACGTCTGGGAGAATTAATAAAAAAGTGCAACTATTTTTGAATAGAGTAGGGAAGAGAAATAAATACCAGAATGCTATGAACAGTGAATTTCCAAAGCCCTTTGATATAGGGACACTAACAGCTTTGCTTCAAGTTTTGTGTTTTGCAAGCTTGAGAGTTATCTCTGTTACATTATCTCCCAGGCTATGCGGAGTAGGCTCCAGAATGCTGTGTCGGGGGTGTTATATGGAGAACTCTGCTTGTTTGCTCTTTATTTTTTAATTTCACAGAGATACCAAGCAGAATAGCCAAGCCGAATGCTGCTATTCTGCTATTCACTCACTGCCGTTCGGCCCCTATGTGACCGAAGGCAGCCGTACAGAGCCGATAGCTGAAGCCAGGCAGTCAGGAGTGAATAGCTGAACGTTGTTTGGCTCACTTCACTTCGGCTCAGTTACTCACTCGTGAGTGAGTAACCCTGTAAATGTAACCGAATAAAACCAGCCTATTTCAACAGTAGGCGACCAAAATGTGGACCAGAATCTCGGTCTTGCTGACGCGTTTCTAGGGATAAACCCTCTTCATCAAATTACATTATGTATTAGGACAACATGAACAACAAAAACTGTAAAAATTATTTACAGCATCTCCTGTCCAAATTTAATATTGCATTGCACGGATTATCATAACTAGTAGTCCCCATCTGTCTGTCTCATAGTTTTTATGAGGACCAGGAGTAGGAATTACAGATTTCTTCTACAGCACCACAGACTGTGCCTTATAGATCAGGAAAATGATTGGTCAGTGAATGTTTAATGAGTGTAAGGTAAAACTGAAATGTGATGCATTATAATTAGGTCCCTAGGTCAGGTCAGGTTCATTAAAATGTTGTCCCTGGAAAGTTATTACATGATCTGAACAAAATATATAATTTGCTATGCCAGAGGCACCACTTTCATTCACAGGGGCACGGAAAACACTACTCACAAAATCCCTGAAAGTGCAACATCCTGTTCATCTTTGTTGTTTATACTGGCTAACTCTCCTCCTATTGCTCGGCAGAAATCCCGGGCTTCAGTCCACGTCCTCTTTTCCCCATCAGGTTTCGAGTAGTACTGGTGATGAGAAATATAAGCAAATATTTAAAGCAATAATAAAGAGGTCAAAATATTTTGAAAATAACCAAATTCAGCATTGTGTTTTATGTGGATGTGATCATTATATATAAAAATAAAAATAACAAAACATTATACAGTATCATGTAAACCCTAAAAATGAACTTCTCTTATTTGATAACTTTTGGTCTGCTATATACACCATTGAAAGTGTTTTAGTATATCTTTTTAACTGCTGCTAGAAACCTGTCTTGTGAATGTTCTCAGGACCCATCTTGGGGCTACAGAACAATTCCCTCTATTTTATATTGATGGAGAGTAGGAGCGTTCTATAGCCCTACTTCCTATGCTAGGGATGCAACACTGATCCTCCATAGATGCAGTGCAGTGAGTGAGCCTTGTCACCCTTTTGTGGAAGTGTGTTACTGGCAAGATCACCAGGTTAAAATAAAGTAACGAAGTCTGACAAAAGAAAACAAATGCAGCCAGCATGTACATAACCATGAACATCTCCCACACCACGCCAACACCTCTCACACGTTTCACCACCTGAACTTAATAATTGATTGTTGATAGATGATTAAGCCCAGGTGATGAAACGCATGAGAGGCTTTGGCGTGGGAGATGTTCATGGTGATGTACATGCTGTTTATCAATATTTTGGACTTGTTTTTTGGAATCTGCTTGGATTTATTTCAATACATTTTGGATTACATTTACCCTGGCTTCTGTGCGGCTCATCTTTTGGACATATACAGGAACTATTTGTAATTCGGCGCAGCCAGTCTTATGGCCCAGACACCCCTGCCAATCTGCCCATCCAGGTTCTGGACTGCCACTACAGCAGCTTAGTCAAGACTACACCACCAACATACTGATTGCACCATAAAAGAGCAGCAGCAGTGTGATGAGGTCACCGCGCTGTTCACACTGCTCTTTTTTCTCAATTTATCATGTTTCCTGACATGCTGTGTGCATGCTGCAAAGTCTGAATGGCTCCCAGTTTTTGTCCCTTAATCAGCCTTTAACTGGCCGCGATACAATAAATAATCTCTGTACAATCTTCTATAGATTTGCTATCAGAGCACCCTTAAACAATCAGTTCAATTTGTTAATAGTGAGGGAGGAACCAGGGAACACAAAATATAAGAAGATTAAACTTCAGCCTTGAAACATTAAATTGAGGGTGTACTATTGTCAATGAGCACTATGGGTTTTCTAAACAGAGAGTACAGCAGAGCTGTTTGCTTTTTTAGGCTGTCCTCCTCAAACTTAAATACCATATGGCCCTGTATGAGCAGAGCAGACAGAAGCGAGGTGGTGTTGGTGGTGATTATGAGTAGTGATGGGCTGAACAGGCCCGAGTTCGGTTCGTATTAGAACATTCGAAAACTTCAAATTCAAACTCGAACTCAATGCAAGTCAACAGGGGTAGAACTTAAGAAACGATTGTTCCCATTAAGAGGGCTTATATGCAAGTTATTGGCCCTAAAAAATGCATTTGGGTCCTGGTACTGCACTAGGGGACAGGAATCAATGAAAAAAACAAACAAACAAAAAAAGTTTAAAAGGAGCAGTGATTTTTACATCACTTAAAGGGTAAGATGAAAAATTCCTTCAAATATCGTGACCGAACAGTGTACTGCACATCGGGCAATGGAAATACTTACCGGGACCCGCAGTGAAGATCGGAGGACGTCACTTCAGCCGGCGACACGGCGCACTGACGCTGACGTGCAGGGTCGGAGGCCGATCGGTGGTCCGTCGTAAGTGCGAGTGGTCGCAAAACAGGTAAGTCGGTAAGCGAGGAACATCTGTATACAACTCTGATATAGAACTCTGATATAGAACGTTGTATACAACTCTGATATAGAACGCTGTATACAACTCTGTATACAACTCTGCTATACAACTCTGCTATACAACTCTGATACAGAACTCTGCTATAGATTCTCTCTCTTTTCACTCCTGCAACACACTACGTAGGGCTGCGGTGTAAGCAGCTTTATATATTGTGCTGCTAGAACTTAGCTATGATCCATGATTGGGCAAACTCATCATGACTTTGCCCAATCATGGCTCTAACAGAGTACTGAGCCCTGATTGGGCAAAGTCTTGCACCTGACCGGTGGTCAGGTGCAAGCCTTTACCCAATTAGAGCTTCAGAAGGCGCACTGTCTTTTGGGATGTTGCGTGGTCGAACAGACCATGAACATCCCACAAAGTTTGTGCGTTCGACGAACGCTCGAACTAGCGTTGTTCGACTCGAACATACAGCCCATTCCTAATTATGAGCCATTGACAGTCTCTGAAATGCACATTTTTTAATAGAAATCCCCCTACTTACTTGAAAGCAAGAGCTTATGTGGGGACTTGTCTTCCATCCCGTTGGGCACTTTGGTTCTGGCGTCGTTGCTGGGATTGGTGGTGGTGTCACTCCTTCCGCCCATTTCTTGCAGACAAACTTAGCTGTCTCGTCACAGTTGATGACATCCCACAATCCGGCTTTGTTTCCGGTCCTCATCACAACACAACCTTGTTTTCTCCCTGCAAAAATGCATCAAAGGTTTAAATCAATACAGTCACACGTGGACACACAGTACATATGCATTTCACAGATGTGAACAAGGGACATTGTACTTAGAGAAAGGCACAGGCTGCCTAAAAGTGCTGGAGGTGTGTAGAGTAAAGGCGCTGGACCCAATGTGTATTATTTCTCACATTGTAATGTGGAATGCATAGAGTGGAGTGCAATGACCCTGGATAGGCTGCTCATACGTTTGAAAAAGCTTCTAGAAGATGGTTCAATTGGGTTGTAAGTGGTTGGAGAGAGATGAAGAGCCACCAAATATAAAGAATCCAAAAAAATGATTGTATTTTCAACAGAGTGTACCGGACACAGATAAAAGCCAAAGGCTGTCAGGGGCTCCAGTGGCTCATCAGTGCTTTGTACACTGACGGGAATTGGTAGGTGGGAAATTGGATTAAAAAGTAATACAATTTTCATACAAACTTTCCATGAGAGGTAAATCCAAACTCAGCATCTAGTTCAAGCAGCCTGTATTTAGTACACTCTGCCAAAAACCACAGAGCCTTTTTTGGAATTCTTATGATTGGTGTGACGCTTGATCTCTCTCAACCACTCCTGAAAATGCCTGGCTGTCTACGGCATCAATACTTTTGGAGTCACTAACCTGGAACAAGCACGACATTTAGAAAGTCAAAGTCAGAACTCTTTATTTGCATTCTTGTCCCAGGTCTTTACCTCAGAAAGTTTGGAAGTTGGCAGCCAGGCAACTTAAATTTGCAGGAGAGGTCAGCAACAGCAACTTCCATGGGTGGTCACTTTTGCTTTCCTTTAAGAACAGGGGGTATAGGCCCCACCCCTATTTTGACCAGCCATGTTACATGGTTATTACTGGCACAGAAAGCAAAAAGCTCTCAAACGAGGGCTTAACTGGCAACTGGGGCTATCATACTAATTACCCCTTTAGAATCCCTCCGATTGTATCAGTGTAGTACACACTTTGTTCAAAAGCACTAATGCCTGATGAAGGGGGACCATTTGAACCCTGAAACGCATTGGATTTTTATGATACAAGGGTCTAAATAAAATTAAATCTAAACTTTTTACTTTTGATGCATTTCTCCTTGCACACCCAGCCCCCACTCAAACAGAGAGCATCAAAACAAAGGGGTCTATTTATGAACTATCCACAGGGCCCCTTGCGCTGCGGATATATATGATGTTCAATCAGTACAGATATATGCCAAAATGAACATTCTCTCCTTACAAGGTAATGTATTTTTAAATGTTTCTTTTCCCATGTAAAACCGCATTATGCCCACTAGATGGTGCTGGCAACAATACATTCTTATTTCCTATGCTCCTTTAGCTTCATCTAGTGGCCATAATGTGATATCACATAAAAGCATTCAAAAGTTCATTGCACTTGTAAAGAAAATAACTACAAATATGTCAGTTTTGTCATATATTCACATGGAGTGAATGTTCACAAATATTGCCAGGGAGAACAGCCCTGCAAATAGTTCATACACTGTTCAAAGAACCCTAAGCGACTTACCAGGCATATCAGCATCCCAGTGAGTGTACAAAACCTTCTCGTTGGTGGTCCATTTAAAAGTCCCCCTTTCTTCCATGCCTGAGAGTCCTGTCCAGAAATATTTCTCCGGTCTAAGCCCGATTAGACTTGTTAGATAAGCCTGTTCAAATCTGCAAATGGCAAAAAGTCAACATTGTGTGATACAATTGTCTTCATTCCTTCTTAAACCAATTAATTTTGCTTTGCAAGAAAATCATCCAACAAAGAATTTTACTACAATGTACAGTGTACCTGTCTTCAACCGTCATCAAAAAAGCTGCGTGGGCATTGCAAGAGGAGTTGGCTTCTGAAAATGTGGAGATTTCTTCACCTATGAAGTAGCAACTAAATCCATGTCTTTTCCAACCCTGCAAACATGAGAGTACAATTACCAATCTGAATGATCACATTTTGTATTTGCGAGTCCATACAATTATAAAGAGGTCATTGGAACATATCAGAAAAAGGCAAACTATGTACCAGTCATGGCCAAAAATATTTGGCACCCCCTGCATTTCTGTCAGATAACGCACCTCTTTGCACAGAAAATGTTTGCAATTACAAATGTTTCGGCATTCTCATGTTTATTTCTTTTGTTTGTATTGGGATGAAACAAAAAAGTGGAGGAAAAAAAAAAAGCCAAACCTGACACTTTCCACGCAAAACTCCAAAAATTGACTGGACAAAATTATTGGCACCCTCAATTAATATTTGGTAGCATAGCCCTTGGAAAACATAACTGAAATCAATGGCTTCCTGTATCCATCAATGAGTTTCTTACACCTCTCTACAGGAATTTTGGAGCACTCTTCTTTCACCAACTGCTCCGGGGCTCTCAGAATAGAAGGGCTTCTTTTCTCAACTGCTGCTTTGAGATCTCTCCACAAGTGCTCTATGGGATTCAGATCTGGACTCATTGCTGGCCAGTCCAGTACTCTCCAGCGTTTTGCCTGAAACCATTTCTGGGTGCTTTTTGACATGTGCTTTGGGTCATTGTCCTGCTGTAAGACCCATGACCTCTGACGGAGACCCAACTTTCTGACAATGGGCCCTACATTGCACCCCAGAATTCTTTGGTAGCTCCTTTAGCTTCATCTAGTGGCCATAATGTGATATCACATAAAAGCATTCAAAAGTTCATTGCACTTGTAAAGAAAATAACTACAAATATGTCAGTTTTGTCATATATTCACATGGAGTGAATGTTCACAAATATTGCCAGGGAGAACAGCCCTGCAAATAGTTCATACACTGTTCAAAGAACCCTAAGCGACTTACCAGGCATATCAGCATCCCAGTGAGTGTACAAAACCTTCTCGTTGGTGGTCCATTTAAAAGTCCCCCTTTCTTCCATGCCTGAGAGTCCTGTCCAGAAATATTTCTCCGGTCTAAGCCCGATTAGACTTGTTAGATAAGCCTGTTCAAATCTGCAAATGGCAAAAAGTCAACATTGTGTGATACAATTGTCTTCATTCCTTCTTAAACCAATTAATTTTGCTTTGCAAGAAAATCATCCAACAAAGAATTTTACTACAATGTACAGTGTACCTGTCTTCAACCGTCATCAAAAAAGCTGCGTGGGCATTGCAAGAGGAGTTGGCTTCTGAAAATGTGGAGATTTCTTCACCTATGAAGTAGCAACTAAATCCATGTCTTTTCCAACCCTGCAAACATGAGAGTACAATTACCAATCTGAATGATCACATTTTGTATTTGCGAGTCCATACAATTATAAAGAGGTCATTGGAACATATCAGAAAAAGGCAAACTCTGTACCAGTCATGGCCAAAAATATTTGGCCCCCCCTGCATTTCTGTCAGATAACGCACCTCTTTGCACAGAAAATGTTTGCAATTACAAATGTTTCGGCATTCTCATGTTTATTTCTTTTGTTTGTATTGGGATGAAACAAAAAAGTGGAGGAAAAAAAAAAAGCCAAACCTGACACTTTCCACGCAAAACTCCAAAAATTGACTGGACAAAATTATTGGCACCCTCAATTAATATTTGGTAGCATAGCCCTTGGAAAACATAACTGAAATCAATGGCTTCCTGTATCCATCAATGAGTTTCTTACACCTCTCTACAGGAATTTTGGAGCACTCTTCTTTCACCAACTGCTCCGGGGCTCTCAGAATAGAAGGGCTTCTTTTCTCAACTGCTGCTTTGAGATCTCTCCACAAGTGCTCTATGGGATTCAGATCTGGACTCATTGCTGGCCAGTCCAGTACTCTCCAGCGTTTTGCCTGAAACCATTTCTGGGTGCTTTTTGACATGTGCTTTGGGTCATTGTCCTGCTGTAAGACCCATGACCTCTGACGGAGACCCAACTTTCTGACAATGGGCCCTACATTGCACCCCAGAATTCTTTGGTAGTCTTCAGATTTCATAATGCCATGCACACAGTCAAGACATCCAGTGCCTGAAGCAGCAAAGCAACCCCAAAACATCAGTGAACCTCCACTATGTGTGACTGTAGGGACTGTATTTTATTCTTTAAAGGCCTAATTTATTTTTCTGAATACAGTAGAATGATGGGCTGCACCAAAAAGCTGTCATTTTGTTTCATCAAAAAGCTGATCTTTTTGTGTCATCCCAATACAAACAAAGAAATAAACAGGAGAATGACGAAACATTTGTCATTGCAACAATTTTCTGCGCAAAGTGGTGCATTATCTGACAGAAATGCAGGGGTGCCAATCGTTTTAAATATGACTGTAGATGTATCTACTGTATCTCACTGTTAATCCTTTTCCTAATCAGACAATTAAAGTGCTGGCCAGACAGAATACAATTTTTCAAGCAATCTCTGATTGTTAAAGTGACACTAAACTCAGGAGTTAAATCTTAAAAACACATTTAAGTACCTTAACTATTTACAAAAATTTATCATTTGTGTATCACTAGGCTGTAGATCCTCAAATCATCTCTGAATTGGTGCTGACACTGTCCTTCTTTCTGGAGGGTGGCTACTTTTGTTCCCCATGGTCCCTGTGTGTTGTGAAGTAGTGTAACGTTCCTCCGTGCCGTGCCGCGTCACGTGTGCATCCCAGCGTGGAACGCAGCAGACGGAGAAGCCGCAGAGGGGTTCCTCCTCCATCCGGGGACGTACTGTGCGCTCCACGCTGGAACGCGGAAGTGCACCGCCACGGCCGCGGCCTATTTAAACTGGAAACAAACGCTGCAGGGTGTTCACTATTGGGTTTCTCATGCCCCAACACCCTGGAACCTTGTTCTCAAGGCAGACTGCTCGCCCAGACCAAACGGAGGACTACCCTACTGGTTAAACAAGTGACCCCTGTCACTACTGATCCTACACCTAAAGCGCAAGTACCTTAAAGCCTCAGGGCTTCCACATGGACTACCTAACCCTTTACTTCAGTGCTAAGTGTATGCTCATAGATCTGGACTGCCTAAAACCTAAAGTGTATGAGGAATATATGCATGTATATATATATGGACTGCCTATAGCTATAAGTACCGTGATCTGTGGGAACTTATAACTGTTCCCCAACCACCGCATCAGTTCAGCAGGCTTTAACCAACATCACCTGAAGAAGTACCTTGTGATTCCAGCTGGGTTTAGGGGCTAATACCTCCATTTCCTTACGTATTATTATTGCTTTCTATTACGGCTCATGATGCAAGAACCCCAAACTCTCCGCCTATGATTGAGAGTGACGCCTGGGGTTCGTGACTGAGCGCCGTATAGCTTCCTTTCCTTGTTTCCTGAGCTTCCGCAGTTGAGATCCTACTCACCTTTTACTAACAACCAGCGGGCTGTGACAAGTAGTCATTGCTCCAATCCGTGATGGACTACAATCTCATGTTTAATTTACTAACTTGTATCGAGATTGTAGTCCATCGCGGGAGTGAGCTTGGAGCGGCGACTACTTTACAACTCACAGGAACCATGGGGAACAAAAGTAGCCACCCTGCCCCAAGAAACATTTGTGTTAATAGTTAAGGCATTTGAATGCATTTTTAAGATTTTACTCCCGAGTTTAGTGTCACTTTAAGTATAAATGTTCAACACCAAAAGTTTAATGTATTTTTCCATACAATTAAAGTTAATTTTAAAAAGTAAAATAAAATAATACAAATATTACATTGTTATTCTTTGCTTTACATATACAGGGTTACACATAGGGACCGATTTACACATTTTCCATCCAGCTATATTCTGGGCAAAAACAGATTGCACGGCATTCCCGCTACTAGGTGGCTTTGAAGACCACAGAAAATTCCTTTGTTTCTCAGCTCCATCTAGTGGCGGGAATGGCATGAGAAGGGTGATAGCATGAGAACTTAAATCCTGTGGCACTGGCATATTTTCTGTTAATTATAAAGAAATGTAAAGTTGAACCTTTTTCATTGTGGATAGAGTTTGGAAGGGTTAAAACATCTATTAGAATTTTATTGTTGTGCCTGTTGGGAAGATTTTCTATAATTTCCTACATGGTCACTGGGACAGATCATGAGCATAAAGTCATAACAATGAACTACATGAAGTGTTGGCTGGAGTTCTTTTATAAAGCCCAACTGACCTTTTAGTTGAAATCAGTTAAATACATTTCAGGTGCATCAAATCAAAAGGCACGCAAAGCCTTAGGGCCCGTTCACACCAGATGCAGTGCGTTCCGGCCCGATTCTGGCCAGAACGCACTGCCTTGCATTGTGGCGGCTCACTTTTTTTGTGGGGCAGGAGGGGGAGTGACGGGCTATTGAAGTTAATGGCAACGCCCTCCGGCCGCAATGCGATCGGCCTCACAGGATCGCAAGGCAAATTATGCCTGAGGTCCGGTCCGATCAAAACGATGCAAGCACTATTTTGATCACACCGGACCGCAGGTAGAAGAAGAACTACCATCCTGCTTGCTTTTGCCAGGTCAGTTACTCACTAGGCAGTGAAGCCTGTACTAAGATGGCAGCCCTGCAGCATGTTTTTTTTTCAAAGCCATGACACCAAGGCTTCTATTTATGACCACAGCTATTCAACCTACGTATCTTTCTGAGTGTATATTCTGTACAAATAGACATAAAAACAAAGTTTCTTAGATATATTTTCTTTTCAGGTCAAATATTTCTAATGTAATACTGCATATTGGCCACTAGATGAAACTGAGGAACCTTTTTTTTCCCTCAAAACAAATGTATTGTGAGGTAATACTGCATTTTGGCCACTAGATGGAGCTGAGGAACATAGGACATACATACTTATTTCCTCTGCTTCTGAGCACCAGCTAGTGGCCAAAATACGTAGTACATTACAAACATTTGATCTGAAAAACAAAATATAAGCAAGAATATTCGTTTTTGTGTCTATTTGCAGATTCATAGGGCATGTGGCTCTGCAAATTGATTATAATAGACCAATAACAGAAGCCTCTATATTTCTTTATTTTATACATTTACTGTATTTTTTTTCTTGAAAACAGTGCAAATATTACTCTTTGTAAATACCCCCATTTATGTAACTGCTCAGGTTTGTTTTAAACTAGGAGAGGCAGATTTGTCCTGTCAATGAATGCTTCAGGGAATCCAAACACTACTGTGCATGCATAATATGCAGTGTGTGTAGGACGTGGCCTTTTGCCCTTACCATTGGACGCAGTGGTCATTTAACGGAAATGCTGACTGCACTATCACATGAATGTACATCCTCTGTTTGCCTGGAATTCAGATTTATTTTTGGTTTTTCCTTCATACGAAACTGACAATATTAGTCATTGTCCTTAAACTTTTTAACACTCTGGTATGGGTTCACTCAATACTATGCTAAAAACAGGTATGATCCTTCAGAAATGTGAATACAATGAATTTAAGTTAGTTACCGTACTGCAGCCGGGCTCAACAATCGGAAGGCGCTCGTGGTCGAATGGCAATGGTTTTCTTTTGCAAATATAAGGAAACTTCTTCTGGCATGCTTGATCTGACCAACGACCAACCTGGCAGGAAGGTGAAAAAAATGATTGTGATAATCCCATCTATGCAATGGGGCAGATTTACTAACATTAGCCATACATTAGCCAGACACTAGATTGCCCCATCCACGCTAAACAGCATGGATGGAGCAATCTGCACTGTCGGCCAGGGATGTACGGTCAGGTGAGGCAGAGCCTCACCTAGTATTATGAAGAAAAAAGGTGTCAGCTTCAAGTCTGAAGCTGACAGCTTTTTCTCCATACAGAGCGGCTTGTTACAGGTTACACAGCAGGGAAAGCCTCCCTGATGTGTAACCTGTCATGGACGGAGCGCTGCCTGTTAATTACAGGCAGCGCAGCATCCGGCTTTTGACAGGTAGTTAGGTTACACAGCAGCGGGCTTCCCCACTGCTTGTGTAACCTAACTTGGTGAGCAAAGAGCTGTCACAGCCTCTACTCTGTGTTAGAGGCGTAAGCTGTGTGGATGGCTTGGACCAATGGCAAAGCGCCATTGGTCCAAGCTGTCAAATCAAGAAAAAAAAACCCCACTGAGGCCATCGATCTCAATGCCTTAGCAGTGACTCACCAGTGAAGAGCAAGTGAGGGGCAGGGAGGCTCCTCCCTGTCTCCTCCCTTCCTCTTCCCCACTCAGCAGGGTTACTGAGCTGGAGGTGGGGCTTCGGCGGGATGGGGGCAGAGCTTCGGGGGGCAGGGGGATGCCTCACCCAGCACAGAAGGCACGGCACGTCACTGCTGTCGGCTATTGTATTCTGACAGTCGCGAAACCCATTACTGCCTGAATACCTGAACAGTGCCTGCGACTGATAGGGCAAAGTCACTGTTTGGCCGACAATATTCCATCTGGCACTGTTGGCTTTTGTTGAGCCAGACGACGCCAACAGGGCCACCCATGGCGCAAATTTTGGCCAATTCAGCAGGAATCTGACAAAATTCAAGCAGTGTATGGCTACTTAAAAGGCATAGAGGCTGGTCCAACTGTAAAGTTTATGGTCACTTTCGACATGTGCATTCGGATTCAGACAAACCTGATGAATCATGAAATTCTGTTGATTCTGGAATTTGTCTGACTCCGAATTAACAAATTAATATATGTCCGAATATACGAAAAACTATATTCAGGAATATATTATTTTGTTTTGTATAGGCATGATGTCAGGAGACATCATGCGCCCCACCTCCAAGGTGGTCACCACAGAACATGCCGGGGGCCAATATAGCCGCTGCACAGTTTTTTTTTTCATTGCGTGCATACGGATTTGGAAGTTCATTGCCTCTGAATCCGAAACAGCATAATTATTTGTTTCATCAGACGAAACTGATGGAAAGGTTTTTCCCTTTTCATTAGCTTCATATGAAACTAATTTTAATGCTGTGCACATGTCTAGTTCACTTAATAATTGAATGTTAGTGAATAAGGTGAAGTTTAAATACCCAATCATGTGACAGAAAAAAAAACCTATTTTTTATTTCCCTCGCAAGTGATTGGGTAAGTGAACACAGGGTCATCTTATTCAGTAACATTCACATTTGAGTGAACAGCCTGTGCTCCTTACTTAAATCAACCCCCACCGTCTTCTACCTCTTACGATAAAATTCTCCACAAGGCTGCCATTTTGTGTTTAGTTGTAAGGGTAGGATGTGGTTACAGGGTCTCTTTAATTCAGTTTGGCTGTATGATACCTTCGGATTTAAAGCGACACAGTCCTCTTGTTCGTTATCCATGTGTGAAGGCTCTCCTCTCTCCCAGATTGTATAGGTCACCGGGGTGCCATCGCTCCACTCAAAATACATTTGTGTCTTCAAGTCATTCAGTCCGAGCCAAACGTACTCGGTGTCTTCTAAGAGACAGTGTTCAAACAGTTCATTGATTTTTATAAATGGCATAATAAATTGACAAATGGAAACAACCCCATCTATTAAGCCAAATCATTGCTGATATTTTGTTTAAAGTGTTGGATAGCATGGGAAGGGTTGGCATGAATATCGCTGTTTGAGTCCCAGTGAGTGAGCTTTACCCTTACATCTAGCACTGGTGACACCTTGCTTCTCAGCTGACGAGAAAGTGTCACTGGGACAGGAAGTAAGGGATAATCTGCACACTGGGAGATTGTTGTATTGAGGCTTCTACCAACAACAACTTTGGTCGCTTGTAAGGGGCTCAAGGTCGTAACATATCTTCATGTAGCACACCATGTTGAATTCAACCTTGTTCGTTAGTGTCCAGTGACAGCCTTAGTTTAATATCACATGGAACATACATAAGATATGGTGTCAGCATACCTTGAATCCTTATTGAACTTCAACAGTTGATCACATCTTACATGCGAAAAAATACCGGCGCCTTCAATTGCAAGGTGCCCAGCAATTAGATAAGCAAACACGAGAGAGGCAGCTCCCACAGGTCAGATTGACCATCAGTCTAGGAAACAAGGAACAAAAGAAAGCGCCTCCATAGTGTAAAAGTGAGATTTAATAGTAAAAACACGCAGCTCGGCTGTACTTACAACAATTCAGTTGAATAAAAACCAGTAGAGTAAGATGAGAAGTCGGAACCTCTAGCAGGGAGAGTCTGGAGTGATGGAATTCAACAGTGTCCTCTATCCCTGTGTTAGCAAAACATAGGTTCTGATGAAGGGCGCGTGCCCCAAAAACACGTAAACCTTTTGCTAACACAGGGATAGAGGACGCTGGTGAATTTAATCACTCCAGACTCTCCCTGCTAGAGGTTCCGACTTCTCATCTTACTCTACTGGTTTTTATTCAACTGAATTGTTGTAAGTACAGCCGAGCTGCGTGTTTTTACTATTAAATCTCACTTTTACACTATGGAGGCGCTTTCTTTTGTTCCTTGTTTCCTAGACATCTTACATGCAATGTGTTCTTTTGTGAAGCTTCAATAAATATCGGACTTCTTAGTAGACCCAAAAACATGTCTTCTACAGGAGCTCAAGGCACACAGTTGCTTGGCACCAAAAGTTTGATGTATTTTTACATACAATTAAAGTGAATAAAAATAAATAAATTATAATAAAAATATGACATTGTTATCCTTTGCTTTACATATACAGGGTTACACATAGGGACGGATTTATACATTTTTCATCCAGCTATACTGTCATATACTATGCCGTTTGCACACCATTTTCGCCGCTACATGGAGCTGAAAAACATAGAAAATGCATATGCTTCTCAGTTCTATCTGGTGGCGGGAATGCTGTATGAACGGCATTCACCTAGCATGTGGCTGGACGTATTATTTGTAAATCACCTCATAGGGTCAGAAAGCGAGTATTATACACTAGTGTTAACATGTTAAATTCAAATATTTGGGCATTGTAAGTGATAACGCTTGCAATAATTACATTCATGATTATGGTTTATGTGCTGAAAATACTGTAAGCACATGCCCCTCAAAAATGCCAAAAATATCCAAAGTCCGTTTTAAGAAGCTAAAAATCTAATGTAACGCAATCTGGTATCTTTCTTGGCAGAATAGTCACTGATGGTTTACTGCTACTTACCAAACTCAAAGTTTGAATTAGCAAAGCTGGATTCCTCAATATTGTGCAAGCTTGCCAGTTCCCCTTCTTCTTTCTTACAAGACACCGTGGCGTCCTGCCAGTTTTTCATTTCTTTATGCAAGTAATAACAATAGCCAGCATAGGAGATCCAGGTCGGTGGGCAATTGATGGGCTCAGTGTCTGTACCAAAATATTAAAATATTTTAAGTATACAGTGTGATATTTGGGGAATTTAGCACAAATGGTGACGCTTAAGGACCAGTCTTGAAGTCGTTGTAACATAAAACGGACAGGCTTTTATTTTCCTCCGTAACAGAAAAGAGCTTTATTTCAGCTACGCAGCATACAGTCTGCTTATGTTTCAGCAAGTAGACAGTATAACAAGGTCTAACCAACTCAAGATTGTCACATATCCTCCATGTGACTCTTCCACACATCCCTTGTGTGTTAACAGGCTCACTAAGCCTCCTTGGCTGATTCCTAGGTACCTCCAGCACACACACAGCCTCCTGGCTCCACTCTGACTCCTGAACAGCTCTGTTCCTCTTCCCAGCTGGAGCCCAGAGCATTAGCCAGCACCCTTTCCATAAGGACTGTGCACAGGTGTGCAATCACCAGGTGCTGTCCCCTACTAAACCACGCACCCAGGAATGGAGATTTCACCCCTCCCAATTCTCTTTGAAATCTCCCAGTTCCAGGATCCCATGCCAAATCCAGAAAACCCGGAGAGAACTGCAAAGGCAGTTCTTTCCCAGCAAAATAATTTACTCCTTGGAACCGCTCAGCCCCTCTGGCTGAGAGTCCTGGGGGACTACACCCCCCAGTTTTACCGTGGGATTGCCACACAATACCACAACGGGCAAATTGGTAAAGCAGCCAATAGTCCAACGATTCACCTCTCATTTGCTACACTGTAGTTATAAGGTAGTTTTGCTGTCTGACTCTTAGTCAGCACACAAGCTTAATGAGCACACATCAGCTTTCTGTAATACTCACCACATTTTGCTGGTAGGATTTGGCGAATCATGGATAGAATCAATGAGTTGTCAATTGTTTCCAATGGAATGTGCATGGTGCTCACTTCCACTCACTGGCTCTCTATTACACACATTTGCCATAGCTCTGACGTTATGAAAATTAGAATTTTAAAGGGTATCTATAGTCAAAACTAAAAATAAATCTGTACTTCTATATTAGATTTCTATAACTTCTAACCCACTCCTAATAACCATATCAGTCTAGAAGTTTGTAAACGTACTTATTAAAGATGCCTATAGGTTGTACTTCCTCAATTCATTGACAAAATTTCACTCTGAATATGCACTTCCTTGTATCACATTTTACAGAGTGGAAAAAGATGAAGTTTATTTAGCTCCTTTAAAAAAAACTATTTAGCTTCACCAGATTTCACTGAAGTTTCACTTCCCTTTGATCATGGTTTTTGGGGTACATTTTTAGTCACCAATGTAACGGAATCCTGCTTTTTTCATTTAAACGGTTTTACTCAATAAAATAAAGACAATGCAATTATTTACCAGTTAAAGTGAACGACTAAAAAGATCACAACATTAATAATTTATTTCTTACCAGATGGAGAGATGTAGGAGGTAATGTTGCCCTTTTTACAGATGTATGCCAACTTTTGGGAACACTCTTTGTTTTCCCACTTGGCATTTTTCCCCTGCTCCAATGCCGCACAATTCTTCCCATGTTCTGCCAATGGGTTTCCTAAAGGAGGAGATAACCTTATTCTATTTAAAAACGCTTTAAAGTGATATTAT